CCTTAGGAGCAGGTAAAGAAACCTTCAGGGGCGATCAGAGCTCACAGCCGCTACTCACACCTGCTGACACGCCTGCAGCAGTTGTGAGTGCAGGACAGGAATGTGGCACACGGGAACGAATTTTCAGTAACCATTAGAGGTTCGCCCCCATGACCAGAGCCCCGCCTTAGTCTGGCTCCCAGCTCACCTGCTCCACCATCCTGCCACAGCCGATTCCCACATGTTCCGTACTCTGCTGACTGCTGCCAATGCCCGCCAAGTTCCACGCACACCCCCTGGTGGTCAGTGCATGTCATAGTAACCAGTTTGGTGGTTCTACTGTTCAATCTATTTGCATATTAGAGTTTTATATATAGAGAGAATACCATTCCATTCTATGAATACACATTTATCCAGCCACCAGTTAACAGACTTTTGTATTTAACTTTTTGGTTATTATTAACAAAGCTTCTGTGAACTTTCATGAGCAAGTTTTTGTGTGGACGTATTTTGTGCATATGCTTAGGAGTGGATATCTGCTGGGTTAAATATAACTTTAGTTTAACCGTTTGAGATCTATTAAACGGTTATCCAAAGTATTATCCCCATTTTGCATTTCCATAGTATGAGGGTTCCAGTTTCTCCATATCCTTGAAAACACTTGCTCTTGTATGTCTTTTTATTTTCACCATTCTAGAGGGCTAATTATGTTTTGTTGAAAGGAAATTTATTTTAGATTACTTTCTATTTTTAAATATTAACCTTTTTATAGGCAGGGACTTAACCTAGAAATGCAATCATATACACCAAGTCTTCTCAATTAATCAGATGTAAATGTGTGTTCTTTCACACCAGTGGTGCCTTTCACGACTGGGTGTGTGCTTCGGAACTTCAGGAGGTTCAAGCTCAGAGTTGGAAGGGACCATCATTAACACTTCTGCTTCAACAGCTCCTCCACTCACTGCTCATGAGCAGCACATCCCATTTGTCTAAGGCTTCAGTTTTCAAGGGATGTAACTTACAAAGCTCCAAGATCAGCCTGCATTGGTATCTTGGTTCTGTTCCCAGTTCTAACCTTCTAACTCTTAGGTACCCTCTTCCTTCCCTGAAGTATTTTTACTTTATTTTCCTTTCTTTTTGATCTTCACTCTTTGAACTATTCCTCTCATGTCATGCTTTTTACTCCCCTTTCCCAAGATGGCAACTTTCCTGGTCTATGAAGTTTGTCAGTATCCCATTTTTAAACGTCACTGAACTAAGCATGCTGTATGTACTACAGATAGTGAGAGCATGTTGACAGAACAGATTTATCACCTTCCTTTCTGTGGCTAGAACAGTTCTATGACCTAACATGTTTTATTCCCGATGAACTCACCAAAGCCATTAGAGTTAGACCTTTATTGCTACACTCTGTAAGGTTTTGTTTTATTCTCACTTCTTAAACGAGTAATACAATCACACGATACAAAATTAAAATGTGTGAAAAAGTACTTGATAGTGTCCTTCCCATTCCTGTTTTGTAAACATTTATTTTAAATATATATTTTTTATTGATATTAGAGAGGGGGGAGAGAGAGAGAGAGAGAGAGAGAGAGAGAGAGAGAGAAATACTATGATGATGAGAATCACTGATCAACTGCCTCCTGCATGCCCTACACTGGGGATGGGCCCACACCTAGACATGTGCCCTAGACCAGAATTGAACCGAGAGCCTTCAGTCCGCAGGCTGATGCTCTATCCATTGTGCCACATCAGCCAGGGCTGTAAACAGATTTATTAAAGTATAGTTTACATAACAAAATTTATCTATTTAAAGCAGGGGTCCTCAAACTTTTTAAAGTGGGGGCCAGATCACGGTCCCTCAGAGACCTGGCGGGCCGGATCAGACTCCTCTGTGGGCCGCATGTGGCCCGCGGGCCGTAGTTTGAAGACCCCTGATTTAAAGTGTACAAGTTAATTATTTTTAGTAAGTTTACAGAGTTATGCAATTATTACCACAATTCCATTTTAGAACATTTCTGTCACCCTAAAAAGGCCCCTTGTACAACTAAACAATCAATCTGTATAACAACCCCAGGCATTTTTTAATCCACCCCTGCCTTTTTCTGGACATTTCATACAAATAAAGTCATATAATAGTGTTTGGCATCTGGCTTCTTTTGCTTAGCATATTTTCAAAGTTCATCCATTTGTGTCAGTAGTTCCTTTTTATTTGTGATTAGTATTCCATTATCTGGATAGGCCACATTTTATTTATTCAATTACCAGTTGTTAGACATTTGGATTGTTTAATTTGAGTGGATAATACAAATAATGTGCTATGAACATTTGTTTAAACCTTTTTGTGTGAACAGGCTTTCATTTATTTTGGGTACATATCTATGAGTGGAATTGCTGGGTAATATGTTAAGTTTATGTTTAATTTTTAAGAAAATACCTAAGTATTTTCCAAAGTGGCTTACCATTTTTAGGTTCCCACCAGCCATATGTGAAGATTCTAGTTTCTCTGCTTCCTTCTCAGCACTTAGTATTATCCATCTTTTTTTTTAATCATAACTATCCTAGTAAATATGAAGTGATCATTGTGATTTTTAATTTGCATTTTCCTAATGACTAATGATGTTGAACATCTTTTCATATGCTTATTGGCCACTCATATCTCTTTGGTGAAATGTCTATCTTTTACCCTATTTTAAATTACATATGTGGAATTTCTCATTATTTATTTAGATTGTTAGTTTCTCCCATCAATGTTTATAGTTTTCAGAGTACAAAGCTTGCCCTTCTGCTAAATTTATTCTAAATATTTTATTCTTTTTGATGATATTGTGAATGGAATTGTTTCCTTAATTTTACTTCCAGTTGCTCATTGCTAGAATATAAAAATACAATGAGTTTTTTTTCTTATTGATCTTATATTCTGCACTCTAACTAAACTTTTTTTTTAGTTCTAGTACCTCATGGATTCCTTCGTATTTTCTATATATAGGATCATGCCATCTGCAAATAAAAAGTTTTATCTCTCCCTTTCCAACTGGTTTCTTTTCTTTCATAGGTATTTTATATATTAAAAAGCAAATACCTGCATATGTTTTATACCCTTTTTCACAAAAATGGCAGCATACTTTACATTTTGTAAAGGATATAATCTGTCTTGAAAATCAGTCTGTTTCAGTACTGAAGTGCTGCTGCTTTTTCTTTTTTCTTTTACAGCTGCAGAGAGGTGCAGTGTTTGCTGGTCAGTCGCCTCGTCACCACCCTTTCTGAGCTCATACTTTTTTTTTTTAACATAATAACCTCATAGTTTTATATTTGTTTTTTACTGTTTATAATCTAAATCATTTGTTCTAACATTTAGATAATTTCAGAAATGTAGTTTTCCCTTCTAGATGGGAAACTGGTGTAGAGAGGTTATGGCTTACTCGAATAGAAACAGTTAGTGAAGGGAAGATCTGAGACTGGTGTTGGTCTTGGGCTTCAGACCCAGAGCTTTTTCTACTGCATCCAAGTTTCTGCCATTCCTCCAGCTTAATGAGTGGGACTTCGCAATTAGGCTTTGTTTGACTTGGACTATTATTCCTGTTGTTATTTGGGATTGTGGCCATTTAGGCCCTCCCAGATGTGCGTTGTAGGGGAGATCTGCTTCCCATATCTCCAAGACACTGGTATGTAAAATGTTAAGGAATAGCCAGAGTAAACCAAGTGACTGACGCACATAAAGCGCTTAGTCAATATTTGTGTTGAATGCAAGATCTGTCACATAGTAATGGTCTCTTATGTTGTTAAGAATATTTGGGTATGATTGTTTCAACTAATTATAGTTCTACCAACTTATATTATCATTAAGCCCATATTACTCCATCTTGCCCTCAAAGATGTCATGAGAATTTCTGTCATTTTGTTAAAATTAAGTACTTACTACAATTCTTTTGTCTGCCAGTTAGTGACCATGTCTACTAGGGAAAACCAGGCTTACCTGGCAGGGCTTGTTCTGCCTGCCTTATGAGCCCTCGTTGAAGTTACCAGATTGATGATTCCTTCTAAAATATTTCAGGTTGTTAGTGTTAAACCCACCAGCTTGCAATACATACCTATGAAAATTACATTTCCCCTCCCCGGACATCTAACATAGCTCCCTCCTCCAGGATTCTGTTGCTAAGTTTCCTGAAGTCCCTGGAATGTAGTTTACTTGATCTAGTTCAGGGGAACAAGTACCTGCAGTTTCCTTTTACTAACTTGGTCTTCAGTTTACCTCTACCAAACTGGCTTAAGGAGATGAGCAAAATGTCATCCCAGTGAGATTCCAACTCATCGTTCTGGGTCAGGGCCACTCCCTAAGAGGATTGTTGTGATAGGAAAATTTAAGAAATACTATTTTATACTGTTTTTATTCAACTACAGTTTGATAACTTTTTTTGTCACCCATTAATATTCCACCATCACCTTATATCCATGAATTTTTCCAACCTTCATTGCTCTCCTTGCTCTAAACTTAACCAAAAAGGCCTTGTGGGCTTTTTAATGTTTTTGCAGTACTCATTCAGGATTTCTCAGGGATGTTTCAGCTCTGCAGCATTTACCCTTGTATGAGTATCTGAGCCCGGTCTTAGAAAGCACTCTGCTGCTCACCACTCTTTATAATTATCCCTGGCCCTCTCCTCTGTGATCAAAACTTACGTAGTTGTCCAATCAAAATTCCATTTTGAAGACTGACCAGGCTAATTTTTAGCTAGCATCTTCTTCCATTTTTCAAGTCCTAGGAATATACCTAGTTTGTTTGTTTGTTTGTTGTCTTACCTTCAAGAAACAGCTCAAGCCCTTATTCAACCACAGCAGCATCCTCCTCCCTGTCATAAAATCATGTGGTAGCATGATTACACTGTCACAAGCTTCATCTCAGCAATTAGAATTGGATAAGAAAGGGCTCTTTTTGGTTGGTGACTGTGTTTTCTTATTCTGTGGGTAATTAATTGTGCAGTGACTGCAGGTAATGATAACGGGGTGTCTCTTGTTTTTTCTAGGTGGTAAACCGTGTGATTTCTTCTGACTCTATTTCATCTTCTACCGGTAATTTCTGGAGCTCGAACTCTACCCTTTGCGACAAACAAAATGTACACATGTTAAACAAGGGTGTGCAAGCAGGTAAATTACTTGAATTTAAACATTTCTTTCCACTAAAATACAAGTAGCTCCTAAATATAAGATACTCAACATGAAACTAAATGAAGATTAACACTATACTCAAATGTCATTACTCACCTATCAGACTGGCAGAAATCTAAGCTTCCTAGCAAGTATGTGGGCAAGAGTATAAAGAAGTAAGTGCTCTCATACATTCTAGAAGGAACATAACTTGGAAGTACAACCCCTATGACAAGCAATTTGGCAATTTCTATAAAATTTCTTTTACCCTCACTTTTACTTTTGGAATTTAGCCTTCAGATATACTGTGCATTATATATATACTGTGCAAAATGGCAAGTATGTAGAATTATCCACATAGTTAATCTAAGTATCATTTAGTTTAGCAGAAAATGAAATACAACTTATATGTCCATCAATAGCCAAATGGTTAAATAAATTACTATACATCTATATAATGAAATCCTACTTAGGATGACAAAGGTCTCTCTACCAATATGGCAAGATCTTCATGACATATAATTTAAAAAAAAAGATAAGGTACAGAATATTGTATAGCGTGCTACTACATGTATTTAAAAAATAAGGAAGAGCCCTGGCCAGTGTGTTCAGTGGTAAGAGCATCAGCCCAAGCACCAAAGTGTCTCAGGTTCAACTCCCTGTCAAGGGCACATTCCTGGGTTGCAGGTTTGATCCAGTGTGCAGCAGGCAACCAATAGGTGTCTCTCACATCAGTATTTCTCTCTCTTCCTCTCTCATCCCCTCCTCTCACTCTCTAAAAATCAATGGAAAAATGCCCTCTGCTGAGGATTAACATAAGTAAATAAGAGAATTGTTTGAATGTGCACAGAAAATTCTCTGGAATAATGGGGTTATGAACTGGGTGAATGGAGAATAGGAGTGGAAAGGATACTTTTCATTTTATGCTTTTTTATATCTTTTGATTTTATAAAACAAAAATAAACTTCTGCCTTGACTTTTTCTTTCCCCTCAAGTCTTGTCTTTACATCTGTCAACCTTTTCCTTACCTAGGTGACTTCCAGGAGGACTAGAAGCATTTCCTGTCTTTCTCACTTGGGATCAGAACTGAATTTATATGTAATTCTTTCCCTCTAATATCTAAACTGACTAAGAGATAAAAAAAAAACCCTTCTCTTGTCCCCACTCCCTTCACTCTCCCCCTCTCTTTCTCTTCCTTCCCCCTTTCTTCTTCTATTTCCCCTACCTTCCTCCCTTTCTCCCCCTACCACCTTTCCTCCCTTCCTCTCTTCCCCATTTCACACTCCAACCCACCCAACAAAAGCCATAGCCTGCATTTTTGAAGCCTTAAAAACTTTTCATTTACTGATTTGAATATACTACCTGCTAACTAAGTAATCTTTCCCCTCAGGAAACTTGGAGATTGTGAACGGTGTCAAAAAACACACTCGAGATGTTGGGGTGATTTTCCCAACTCCAAGTCTTACTGAGGTTAAAGCAGAAGAGGACAGTGATGTAACTTCTTGGTCAGAAGAAAAAGTAGAAGAAGAAAAGCTCCTTACCAGAAATCTTGGAGACAAAAAGTTAAGGAAGAACAAGCAGAGTTGCTGTGAAGGTCTGTTTCTAATTCCCGGTTTTATAGCAGAAAAGCTATGCTCAGATTATTTTTTCTAAATGATCCTATGTTGACCCCATCTTCACCCCCTCACTACATTTATAGAATCATTCCTGCAGTTAAGCAGGCTCCTGGGCATCATGATGGCCTCTGACAGCTGAATCTGCTGAGAGCCTATTTTATGTACAAGTCTCTGAGAAATATGCAAAATCTTCTTTCCCCCACACCAATTAGTAGTTGGGTGTCCTTTATTTGTTTATTTTTTATTTTTATTATTCTTATTCTTATTATTAATTTTTTTTTTTTTTTTTTGGTTTTCAGATTGATTGATTGATTGATTGATTGATTTGCCAATGCAAAAACTAAACCACATACATGTTATTTTCAAAACTTGAATGTCAAGAGCAAAACTCTGGCTATTAAATAATAACAACAATGCCAAAAATCTCCTTTCTTACTTAGAAATATTTCCTGTAGAAGTGTCATGGTTTATTCCTATGGAAAATGTAAAGTCTGGTCCTAAGAAGGAAAACCTCAATCATCGTGGCCCTGGCATCTCCTGGTTTGCACCAATAACCAACACCAAACCCTGGAGGGAACCACTACGGGAACAGAACTGGCAGAGCCAGCACACGGCCAGCCACATGTCACTAGCAGGCCCAGGCAGAAGTCCACTGAAGCCATTAGTGAAAGCGACATTACAGGTACAGGGTCACTGAGTTAATGTTAGCCTTGTGTGTCAGGGGGGAGAAAGGGTGAGGCACAAAGAAGTTGAATCTGTGACGTGGCCTGCAGAAGCACAATCATGTGACCCTCATTTCTAGCACCTCCAGAGTTCATCTTTTCTCACTGTCATTATTAATCGAAGGCTGCCTTACTCTGTTAACCATTTTAAACCGCTCATCAACCTCAACATCTGAGGACAAGGCAGTAGAAGGGACGCTGCTCATCGAGTTTATAGGCACATGTTGGCCTGGAGGCCTCATGTTGGCTCAGCTTTATATTTGTTCCTCCAGAATGCCTACTGCTATATAACACGAAGTTTAAAGGGCACTAGTCTCTTTATATGTCCTTTGAGAGCTACAGCAAATGTTATTTAATGGTGTACAGGATGAGGCAAAAGTAGGCTTACAGTTGTTCCTATGGAAAATAATACAATTGTTAACAAATAATTTAAAAATAAACTGTTTTGTGTACTGACAACTGTAAACCTACTTTTGCCCCACCCTGTATTTGAAGGGAAATTTAATGTAGTACAATGGGCCAAGCTCCATCCTATCTGGGAGAGTTATATTTGCCACATCTTAGCTCTTGGCTTATTCCTAAGGCATTTCTTTGATCCCTCTGATTTCCCTACTTGAACTCTCCCCCACAGAGAGTTTGTTAGGTTATCCTGTATAATAAAAGTCTAATATACTAAGTGTCAACCAATCAAAGCATAATATGCTAGTGACATGCTAAGGCCTCTCAATCACTCTGTATAACTTGTACTGGTCACCAGGGACAGACAGTCAACCAGTAGACCAGTCACTATGATGTGTACTGATCACCAGTGGGCAGATGCTCCAACTGGTAGGTTAGGTTGCTGCTGGGGTCCACCCCATTGGGACTGAGCAAGATGGGCTGGACATGCCCTGGAGCCCTCCTATGGTCTCTCCCCAGCTGGCCAACCTCCCATGTCCCTCCCCGACCCCGATCATACACCGGTGGGGTACCTCGGCCTGGCCTGCATCCTCTCACAATCCAGAACCCCTTGGATGATGTCAGAGAGCTGGTTCAGCTCATTCCCACAGGCCAGGCCAAGGGACCCGATTGGTGCACAAATTTGTGCCCGGGCCTCTAATCCTCCTATATAATAAAAGGGTAATATGCAAATCGACCTAACGGCAGAACAACTGGTCACTGTGATTCGCACTGACCACCAGGAAGCAGACATTCCACACAGGAGCTGCCCCTTGGTGGTCAGTGCACTCCCACAGGAGGAACACCACTTAGCCAGAAGCTAGCTTGTGGCTGGCAAGCACAGTGGTAGGGGGAGCCTCTCCCACCTCCGTGGCAGCACTGAGGTTGTCCGACTGGCTGCGTGGGAACGGACCTAAGCCATCAGTTGGGCCTTCCCTGAGGGCTCCCGGGCTGAGAGGGCTCCCCTTCGGATCACGAATCTTGTGCACAGGGCCTCTAGTTTGCAAGAATAGAATAGAAAATACCTTTAGAAACAGACTCTTTAAATCCGTTGGTCAGATCCTGCTTTTCTAGGCCCTTAGAGAGCAAATTGCATCATTAATATAAGAATGGGGCTTTTTCTCCTCAGGAATCACTTCTGTTTCACAGACCTGACTTCATCTCCCGCTCTGGGGAGCGGATAAAACGGCTGAAGTTAATAGTCCAGGAGAGGAAGCTACAGAACGTGTTACAGAATGAGCGGGAGGTGCTGTTCAACACTGGGCAAGAATGGCAGGGCCAGGGGGACTCCGTGCACCCGCTCCCTAAGAGAGGTACAGCCTGCACTTCCCTTTCCTGGGTACAGAGGTCAAGATCTGCTTTTGTTCTCTTTTTTCTAAGGTCTGCTTCTTGTTATGGGGAGCACTGCTCAATACCAGGCCAGTTACATGGACAGAGAGACTTCTTTGCTTGCTGAGACATCTCCTGAGGTCACAAAACCCACCCAGTTTAGCTCTCAGAATTTGAATGATCCAAATAAGCCCAGTTACTCTTGCCCTATGACTGCATTTTAAAAACGATAGTGTACAGTAAGAAGGTATTTTTATAAACAATCTCTGTGTCTATGAGCAAGTTAGTTCCAAAAGTAGTATTATGTTTGTTCATTTCTTTCATTAAAGAGGGGATTGATTTCAGGCTTTTATACTTCATAGGGTGGCAATAATAATAATAACAATAATAGAAATAGTAGTGTTAGTAATTAAAATAATAGTTATGGCCTGGCAGGCTTTGCTCAGTGGTTGAGCGTCAACCTATGAACCAGGAGATCACAGTTCAATTCATAGTCAGGACACATGCCCGGGTTGCAAGCTTGATCTCCAGTGTGGGGCATGCAAAAGGCAGCTTGATCAATAACTCGCTATCATCATTGATATTTCCCTCTCTCTCCCTCTCCTTTCCCCTCTGAAATCAATAAAAATATATTAAAAAATAATAAGTAATCATTATGTAGCCCTTATGTTTTACTCAGACAGTGTTGGCGTTTAATACAATATTTCCTGAGGTGGATCCTATTAATATCCCTGTTTTAGAGATGAGAAAACAAAGGCTAAGAGATTACGTACTTACTAAGCTGAGATTTGAATCCAGGTGGGCTGGCTCCAGAATCATCGCTCTTCACAGTTATGCTCAGGAGTAAGATCAATAAAGTAATATTTGAAACCTGTGAAAACTACAAAGTACCTAACAGTTTCATCATATTATCTGTAAACGGGGCAGTGTATCAATTTATAGTCTAGTCTGTGCCACAGTGTTATGCCTTCAGGCGACGTAGGCTGCTGTCACAGTCATCATGGTTTAACCCTGGCCTTGGCCTTTGTCATTGGTGACCACCTAGCACTGTCAGCTCACAGTAGGACCTCAAAGTCCTAGCAACTCTGTCACACAGCTCTTGCACACCACACCCTTTCTTGTTATGTCACTACTCACTGTAAACCTCTTTTTCTCTTGCTTAGGTTTCCTGGCTGCCCAGAAGTATAGGCCTGTTGGAAAGAAGGAAATGATTCAGAGGTCTAAACGGTAAGGCCAAAAGAATAAGAGTAATTAGAAAAGTACCAAAGGACGTGTGTGCATACGTATGCCTAATCAGTGGTCAGGGACAACAGGGGGTGGGGCCATGAGTGGGGAGCGGTGGGGGATGGGAATGGGGGGATGAGGACAAATATGTGATACCTTAATCAATAAAGAAATTTAAAAAAAAAAAAAAGAAGAAGAAGAAGAAGAAGAAGAAAGAAAGAAAAAAGTACAAATCAGGCCAGCAAGTACTCAAGAGCTCTGGCTTGCCCTCAGAACAAAGGCATTCTGCTCGTTAAAACATAAAAAATTAGTTGTGAATTTCTCATGTATGACATTAAAAAAGAGAAGAATAGGTAGCAGATCATGGTATGGATGATTCATCTATCAAAGATAGAAAGAATTCCCACTAATTTGCATGCCTTAGAGAAGCTCATCCTTATTAGAAACCTAAATTTAGAGTATTTAGAAATGAATATTTATTTGGGGCCTTACTTTTATTTATTTTTCAGAGAGATGTACATATAATAGAACAACTTGGAACTGGGTCTTGAAGGATGGTGGATATTTTTAATTTTTTTATTTTATTTTATTTTATTTTTATATTTTATTGATTTTTTTTTTGCCCCCCTCCCTCCCATGCATACCCTCCCTCCCAAGAGTTTTATTGGTTGTACTTATATGTATGTAAACAAGTCCTTCGGTTGATCTATTATCTCCCCCAGATCTTCCTCCCCTCCCCACTGTAATTTGACAGTCTGCCTGTTGCTTTACAGTCTCTATATCTGTCTCTTGGTTCAACAGTTTATAATGTTCTTTATCATCCACAAATGAGTGAGGTCATGTAGTGTTTCTCTTCATTGATTGGCTTATTTCACTCAGCATGATGTTCTCCAATTCCATCCAGGTTGCTGCAAATGATGAGAATTCCTTCTTTTTTATGGCAGCATAGTATTCCATTGTGTAGATGTACCATAGTTTTTGGATCCAATCATCTGCTGACAGGCACCTAGGCTCTTTCCAAATTCTGGCTATTGTAGATTGTGCTGCTATGAACATAGGGGTGCATATATCCTTTCTGATTGGTGTTTCTAGTTTCTTGGGATATATTCCTAGGAGTGGGATTACTGGGTAAATGGGAGTTCCATTTTCAGTTTTTTTAGGAAACTCCACACTGTTCTCCACAGTGGTTGCACCAGTCTGCATTCCCACCAGCAGTGCACAAGGGTTCCTTTTTCTCCGCAACCTCGCCAACACTTGTCGTTTGTTGATTTGTTGATGTTGGCCGTTCTGACAGGTGTGAGATAGTACCACATTGTTGTTTTGATTTGCATCTCTTGGGGCCTTACTTTTTATCTAGGCTATCCTGTTTCTAGAAATCTCTTCAATACAGTGAGAAATAATGGAGTATGGTCCAATACACATTAAATTAAGCTTGAGAAAAAGTCAGGTTTCAGAAGCACGTGAACACTGCCACTATAGTCTTTAAAAATAAATATTTGTGCTTCTGTAAAGGCGGACACTTTATATGCATAGTATATCTCTGGAAGGATACACACAAAAACTGATAATAGTGATTGCCTTTGACAAAAAAAAAAACAACAACTGAGTGACTGGGTAGGAAAAAGACTAATTTTTTGCCTTTATATATTTTTTTAATTTTGTTCCATTGTGTGCATTAGCATTCATTAGAGATATGCATATATTGATCATGAGAATGCCATGGAATAACTGAATTAAGAGTTACCATTTAGGGGTTCATTAGCTACCTCCTTAAATAAGAATAGTTTTCTAGCCAGCAGAATGTTTGAAAACAGTTTACCTTAGATGCTTAAAGCATTCCTCCTGAAATTATGTTTTTACTCTCCATTTAGTAAACCGTTTCCTTAAATGTACTTCAAAGGGAGGCTTTAATCACGGAGTTCTTCAAGTGTGCTTGTAGACCTCTGGAAGTTCTGAGACCCTTTCAAGGGATTTGCCAGGTCAAAATGAATCTCAAAATAATACTAGAATGTCATTGCCTTTTTCAGTGTGTTGACATTTGCACTGATGATGCAAAAGTAATAGGGAAGGAATAAAATTGCTGGTACCTTAACACTATTTGAGCCTGCTGGTCTAGAAGGTTTTGTATTCTTTTCTTTCTTTCATTCTTTCTTTCTTCCTTCCTTCCTTTCTTTCTTCCTTCCTTCCTTCCTTTCTTTTTTTATCCTCATCCAAGGATATTTTTTCAGTTGATATCTGTAGAGAGAGTAGAAGGGAAATAGGGGGGTGGAGAGAGAGAAATATGGATGTGAATCACATCAATGAGTTTCCTACTGCACTTGCCCCGATCAGGGTCAGGGATCAAGATCGAGCCTGGAACTGGGGTAGGTGCCAGCAGACGCTCTAACCTCTGAGCAGAACAGCCAGGGCAGGAAACTGTACTCTTTGCAGCCACCTGCCAGCAGTGTAAGGGAAGTACATGCAGAGCACCTGCTGAGAGCAAGACCGAGGCCGGTTCAAGGAAGGGCACTTACACCAAGGTTTGTGGAGCGAGCTGAAGTAGAACACAGTCTTTACTTGAAAAATGGTAGATAAGCTGATTATTCCGACCTGAGTCTGTCACTTCAAGTAAAACAGCTGACAGTGTTTACTGCCAAAGAGAAAATTTGAGCTTTCAAGCAAAAAATCAAATTCTAGAAAACTTGGTCTACCACTATATGGTTGACTACCTCCCAGTACTGAGACTTTTCTGATGATGTCAGCAATGATATTAACAAGTACGTTGTTGTTATATAAGTAAATATGTCAGCATTTAGAAGATCTGCATAAGTCACTGGGCCAGTATTCTCCCAATGACTGGCATTGTGTTACAAAATCAGGCATGGATAGACGATCCATTCAAAGTGCAAGATAGACCTCTGTTTATATGAGTGTACAAAAGCTCATTGATAATGGGTTTAGATTCTACATTGCAACTACTTTTTAAGAAACTAGCACTTGTCAAGTTTTGGTGCAATATCAAGAAAATCAGCAATTATCTGAAAAGAATATTAAAATACTTCTCCCTTGTCCAACTGGATTTTTAAAAATGTATCTTTTAACTAGACCGGTATATTACAACAAATGTAATACAGAGGCAGATGTAAAAATCTAGCTGTCTTTTATTAGACATTAAATTTTTATAAAATATAGATTTACAAAATATGTAAAACAGTACCACTCTTACTAAACATTTTAGTTTTGGGAAACGTGTTAGCATGCAACAGGTTTATTATTTTTATTTTTAGGTGCATTAAGAAGTAAGTATTTTTGCCCTCGCTGGTTTGACTCGGTGGACAGAGTGTCAGCCTAAGCAGCCCCGGGCTCCTCTCTGGCCGAGGGCACACACCTCGGTTGCAGGCTCCTCCCTGGACTGGGTCCTGGTCGGGGCTTGTGCAGGAGGCACAATTGGTGTGTTTCTCTCACGTTAATATTTCCGTCTTTCCCTCTGTCTTCCACTCTAAAAATCAATGGGAAAATATGCTCAGGTGAGGATCAAATTAAGTACTTTTAAAATGTTTAGTTTTAATTTCTTATACATTAGATCTCAATAGATAAAATTCACATTGACCAAAATTGGCCTCAAGCTTTAAGAGTATAAAGGGGTCCTTGTCCAAAAAATTTGAAAACCATTGCTTTATTCTGTCACAAAATTTAATTAGGGGAAATTCCAGTGCTCACTGTGTGGCAGCTAATTACACTCACCTCAGTGAGAGGAGCCCCTCTGTAAGGGACTGTGAAGCTGGCCTAATGGAATACCGTAGAAGCATCTTCTATAAGGTGTCAGTGCTTCAGAACATAAATACAGGCAGCTGTACAAGTGCACTGAGTACCCCCACCCTGATCCAGGACACCCTTCAGTGCAAACCAGCCAGCCCCCACCCGTGCACCAGGCCTCTATACCAATAAAAGGGTAATATGCTAATTAGACTGGGAGACCTTCCAAGTGTTCTTCTGGACAAAGCCATGGTGGCAGGACTGAGGTAGAGGTGGTTAGAGGCCAAGAAGGAAGGGCAGTTGTGGGTGATCAACCAGGATGGGACGGCAGTTGTGGGTGATCAGACCAGTGGGGGAAAGGGGCAGTTGGGGGTGAGGAGGCCATCAGTGGGGGTCAGTTGGGGATGATCAGGACAGCGGGGGGGGGGCAGTTTGGAGTGAGCAGGCCAGAGGGGGGACAGTTGTGGGCAAGCAGACCAGTGCGGAGGGAAGCTGGGAGCAAGCAGGCCAGCAGAAGGGCAGTATAGAGCGAGCGGGTTGGTAGGGGGGAGGTTACAGTTGGGGGCAAGCACACTGGCAGGCAGAGTGGTTAGGAGCAGGAATGTGAGCAGTTAGGAGCCAGCAGTCCTGGATTGTGAGAGGGATGTCCGACTGCTGGTTTAGGCCCGTTCCCTGTAAATGGGCAGTAGGACATCCTTCAAGGGGTCCCAGATTGGGGGGGACCCCACACACACACACACACACACACACACGAATTTCATGCACAAAGCCACTAGTATGTAATAATTGCTCTCAAGAAACCATTCACACAATGTAATTTCTGACTATCCTGATTAGTCTGGCTCCTAGATTTCCAGCCTTGGAATACAGCCTTTCCTGGTCGAAGCAGAATTTCCCTTCATACCACATGTTCTTTTCCAGTGGCCTTTGTTATCTTCTCTAATAATGGTCCTTTTTTCCCAGCTTTACTGATATTTAGTCGGTGAGAAGACATCATGTGCCTCTGTGGCCTGGTAACCTCACTGCTTTCTGTCTTTCCTAAGGATTTATGAGCAGCTTCCAGAAGTAAAGAAAAAGAGAGAAGAGGAAAGGAGGAAATTGGAATATAAGTCGTACCGGTTGCGAGCCCAGCTGTATAAAAAGGTCAGTCAGTCCCAGAGCGGAATTGGTCAGGTTTATCAAGGAAGAGAAACTGAGTGACACACACCTGACCTGTTGGAATTAACTCATTGATGCACTGTACCACTGCTGAAATTGGAAGATAAAGGCACCTATGACTAGATTTCAAATCTAAAAATAAAAAACCAAACCTAAAAAGGCCCCTTCAAAGCATACATTGGGAAGGAAACCAAATTTCATCTTTAGGGGTCAGTTTAGATGTATGTTACGGTAGAAATGGTCAAGTCCAGTAGAATTCCAGCGTCCCAGGTGGTAGTTTTATACCTTTAGAATTTTGTAAAAGGCTGGAAAGTTCTGCGTGTGGCTTAAGAGTTGCCAGAGCCTGGCACCATGTCCTGCCCATCGCTCCCGTGGAATCAGTGTGCTGTGGGTCCCAGAACCTCCCAGGCAAGGGCACTTGCTAACAATTTATTCCTTGAGAAATGAAATGGGCCACATCCTTCACTGTCCTGGTTCCCTTCCAACGAGGACGCTGAAAGTCAGAAAACAAAGGACGCATTCATCCCAGACCGAACGCTTCTGGAGCACATCCCAGAGTTCAGGCTGGGCCTGCTCCAGTGCGGAGGCCCCAGCCCTGCACAGGCTCTCACTGTGCTGTGTGTTCGCCAACTCCAGTCTATCAGGATTGTAGAATGTCTGCATCTGTACAGAAATAATAGCTACTGGTTAGAGATTATCTTTCCTAAACACTCCAGGAAGTATTTTTCGTATTGTTACCATAGTTTCTGTTCTGGGGAAGGTAAACAAGGTTTGGTCAGAACCCCACCGGTCTTCAGTGCCATGTCCGAGGGAAGGGGTGCCCATCTGCCTGGTCGCGAGGTTGCTAACTTCTTTCCTGCCTGTCTTTTCTTCCACAGAAAGTGACCAATCAACTCTTGGGGAGAAAAGTTCCCTGGGACTGACAGATTATTTTCTTCAGAGCCATGGAATTTTATTTTATCAACCTGAAGAAGCATAACCCTTACTTTGAGTCTGGTTCAATAAAACAAACTCTCTGTCCATGTGTGATTTCGAAGTAGTAACCGTCTAAGAGTGCGGGGCAGAGTGGTAAGGCTGTAAAGGTTTGGGAGCAGTACTTTCTTTACAGTGGCCTGGCCCACAGGGGCGCTTTATAACATTACTTCTTATCTAGATAATAGTCCCTTTTGTTTGTGTTTTTAAACTTTTAGAAAATAAATTACTTTTTTAAAATATTCTTGACTCCACATAAAACAAGCCCCAGAGGGTCATTTCTTTCCCATCCGGAGCTGAGCCATGTCTCCCGAGTGCGTGGGGAGCCGCAGTCTAAAACGGTCCGTACGGGAAATGGGCCTTTCCCTGGAAGACCCTGCCATGGCCTCTGCGGAGAGGGTGTCTGTACCACCGCGCACGCCGACTCCCAGCAGACAGGCTTCTCAGGTCTAGAACTCCCTTAGTCTCATCCCAGCTGCTGGGAGCTGTAGGCCGGGAAGAAAGGCCACTAACCTTTGGGGAATTTTCCTTTACCCACCCCCTTGTTTGCAGGATTAAAGCCTCAGAGCATTTATCGTCTTACATGGCACCAGTGTTTATAATCTGGAAAACCACTTCTGAAAAGCAGGATTTAATGTATGTGATAATGGGGGGAGGGGAGAATATATATATGAATGATAATGCACATAAAGCACTTAATCTTGTGACCTGGAATTAAAGCTAAGGCCCAAAGTGGAGCCAGGGAAGATGCTCAGCAGCCTTATTCTAAGTTCAGCGAAGCTCTAGCAGGGCCTTGGGGGCCAGCTGCTTCCTGAGAGGCAGAGGCAAAGAGCAGGCCCTGCCACCAAGCGCTGCTCAGAGCCGTCACGTGCTGCCACCTGACTCCCTAGCCTGGGAGGCGGCTGTGAAGAACCTCCGACGGTGCATGTGTGGGGCTCCTAGCTCTTCCCTGCCATGCTGTGCAGGTAGTCACTCTGGGCCAGTTCACCTGTGAAAGTAGAGCATTAATATGTGTATGCCCCTTTTGGTTGTCAGATGCTGTGGCTGTTTACATGTGGGAAGTTATTAGAATACAGACAGAAAGTGTCATTGTCTGGAAACTTGGGTCTGCAAGGACACAGGCAGGACGGAGTCCTCTTGGGCGATGAGTGTGATTCTCTACGTCTGGCAGTGTCCTCCTGGCATCTTCCCAGAACATTTACCAGTGGATCAGGGTCTGGGAAGCCCCAGGTGGCAGCCCGCTCCTCCTCCTAGCCCAGCCAGAATGTACCTTATGGTGCCCCCAGAGCTCAGGATAGTTTCCCCACTCTGCCCACATCGGTTCGCTGAGCACCTGGCCGAAGCTTCAAAGTCACCACCTCAGCTGTCACTCCTTGGCCATGGGGCTGCTCTGCCCCGCTCCACCATCTCCACCGGGGGCTTTGTTCTTTTGTTCTTGCACAGATGAAGCCCAGGCCCTGGGCCTGGTTCTGATTTTGGGGATTCACTCTTTAATTTCTCCTTCCTAAATCTAGTTCACACCTAATCCGAGAATTCTGCCCTCTTTTTTTCTAGGAGGTTCAGCTCCAGCCTCTTTGGCCACTCCTCTTCCCTGAGGACAGCTTCTGTTCTGTCCACCCACCCCAGACAAAGGCCTCCCAGTGACCACCAGCACATGCACTGTGGCTGAGGGAGTGTATGGAGAAGGCAGTGTTTTAACTATAAGTCACAGCATTGTGTGTCCCAAATGATTGTGCTGGCCAGTAGTTAGAGAGCTAGGCCAAACCGGCCATGGTGGCTCACTGGTTGAATGTGGACCTAGGAGATCACAATGCAATTCCCAGCTGGGGGTCTGGCAAGAGGCAGCCAGTTAATGATTCTCATGGATGTTTCTCTCTTCCTCTCCCTTCCTCTTTGAAACCAATAAAAATAGAAAGAAAAAAAAAAAGCTAGGCCAAGCTGAATCATTGATGTCTTCATCTTTACCTGTTTTGGAGCTGGGTGATTTTAACTTAAAATGTTTGTTTTATTTTGACGGGCTGTAAACCCTTGCTTAAAGCCCTTTCCCAGTTTCTCACTAAATACTCATGAATTCGGGTTGGGTGGAGGTCTGGGCTGAGTCATAGCAACACTATTGGCCTTTAGGGGGCACTCTTGAGTCATCTCACAGCTTTCCCGCCCCCACAACTCCCCAAGGTGAAGATCCTGATCTAAGGAAACACTTCCCCCAACGCTGGGTTGTTTTCCAAGTCTGATTGGGCTACATGTTAAGGGGATTGCAGTAACAAGATGCATATATGTGGGCTGTTCATTTTCTTGGTCTACATCTCTATTCCTATCTGCTTGCTGTAATTGGCCTCAAAGCACCCAGCAACTCAAGCCAACCCATCCTTAGACTTTGAAGTAAATTATCTCTTTTTTTCCTCCTTGTTCTCTTTGTTTCCTCTGTTGCAGGTACCATTACTCTGGGTCAGTGGTCGGCAAATTATGGCTCTTTGGCCCCTTGAGTGTTTAGCAAAGGCCAGCTTAGGAGTACCCTAATTAAGTTAATAACAATGCACCTACCTACATAGTTTAAGTTTAAAAAATTTGGCAAAGAAATGTCATCATACTGTTGATATTTGGCTCTGCTGACTAATGAGTTTGCCGACCACGGCCCTGGGCGGTCTTGTTTTACAGGTAAATCTGAGGCTCTGTTCTGGGCTTGGAGAGAATGGGGCCCTTCAGAGGGCGTCCCAGCTTTCTAGACTTCTGCCGGGGTTTGGGTCCGGCACGTCCTCAAAGAGGCACGGCCAGATGCACACATTTCTAGAATCCCTGACCCATTCTCTGCACAGTGTTCACCCAGCCTCATCATTGCTCCCCACACAGGACAGCCTGACATCAGAACCTAAGCCCAAAACCGCAAGTAACCATGGGTAAATGCGCTGGCCTAAAAAGCCTGCCGACTCTAACTTCATTTCACAAGATGGGGCCCAGCTGAGGAAAAGCGGGAAACTGTTCACATAGTTCCCACTGTCGGCGTGGCCAGGGGAGTGACTAGGAAGCAGCCCTCAGGAGACACACCTGGTGCCATCTTAACAAAAAACAGGTGTCAGTCCAGACCCCAGAAAATAGCTAGGAACAAAAGGCTTCCCGAATCTACACCTAGATTAGGTGTGTCGAACTCAATCAGAGAAGGGGCCAAAATCTAAAATCCAGCCTAAATCGCGGGCCGAATGGTTTACTGAACAGTCATAAACTGTCATTGTGATGGAAACGCAGCGGAGTGCAGTGATGACAGCGCGGTGCGGGCCACATTGCAAGGCCTGGCGGGACGGATTTGGCCCGCGGGCCTTGTGTTTGACACATGTGACCTAGATAGTAAACTCCGTGGGGCACGAATTATGGCTCTTGTTCGCTTTCTTTTGCTGGGGCCTTGCACACAGTGTGGCCACAGGTTAACTCTGGATTTGTCGACTGGCACACAGTGTGGTCAGTCCAGATTGCAGGCAAAGGCTGTGGGAAAGACTTCAGGGGGATCTAATTGGTCGGTTACATGAAGCACCTGATTGTTATAGAAACATCTGATAGAGTTTGGGATTGAATAGTGTTAAATGAATAGAAAAGTAAACAACCAGTAAGATCATTAAAAGTTCCAGGAAAAAGAAGGCAAAACAAAAATATGTAAGAGAGGATAATGTTTTGCCATGTAGCTTAGCTTAAACACAGAATATTGATGGACCCCAAACAGTAACATAACCCCTTTGAGAATCTGGGGAACAGGAAAGGTGCATATGCGTGGTGGAGGCATGGCATCAACCTCCTGGTGGCAAAACCGGACCATCAAAGCGCCACATGCCGAAACCGGTTTGGCTCAGTGGATAGAGCGTCGGCCTTTGGACTGAAGGGTCCCGGGTTCGATTCTGGACAAGGGCATGTACCTTGGGTTGCAGACACATCCCCAGTAGGGGGTGTGCAGGAGGCAGCTGATCGGTGTTTCTCATCAATGTTTCTAACTCTATCCCTCTCTCTCCCTTATAAAATATTTAAAAAAAAGGAACCACAGGAGCCCATTAAAGAGGTGGAAGTGAGTGCACAAGGGAAAGTGTAAGGGCTACTCTTTACCACCACAAATCCATAGAACTCAGACCCTTTAAAATAGGTATACATATCCTATATAATAAAGAGGCAATATGCAAATTGGTCCTCATGCTGTCACAAGATGGCTGCCCAGCCCCACCCCTGATCAGTCTCTCCCACCCCAATTGAGGGTGGGGAGGCTAGCCAAACCCCCACACACAGCCCCTCACCCAGGCTGGTCCCACCCCACACTTTCCCAGGGCTGGGGGTACCCCAGGCAGGCTGCAGGCATGTGTTGGTCAGAGGCAAAGGTCCTGGCTGTCCCTGGCCTAGAGAGTCCAGAAAACCTCAGCAGTGACCAAAGACCAAGACCGAGCGGAAAGGTCCCTGTCGGCGCTTACGGCTCAAAGTGACAGGAGGAGGCAGAGCGTCTTGAACCTGCAGCCCTGGCATCTGCACACCAAGCCTTGGGGAACCTGTGGGTGAAAGGTGGAGAGCAGGGAGCTGGGGTGTGGAGCTGGGAGGGGCCTAGAGTCTATGGGAGCAGACCGCCTGCAGAGGTTGCTGTGACCCACGTTTCTCTCTCCTCCCCCCACTCCCTGCGCGCTCCTCCCCTACATCCCACTCTCTCTAAAAAAAAAAAATCAATGGAAAAGATATCCTCAAAAAAAAAGTCCAAATTGGTAGTTACAAAATAGTCACAAAGATGTAAAGTACAGCATAGGAACTATAGTCACTAATATTATAATAACTATGTATGGTGCCAGGTGGGTGCTTTGAAATAACAGAGGGACACTTTGTAAATTATATAATGTCCACCATGCTGTGCACCTAAAACTGATATAAAAGAATTTCTCAGCTAAAAAGTTTTAGTGCGTGACTTTTTTAAGTAACAAAATAATTTTTCAATATATAATGTAACTAAGGGTTTATAACTTAAACTTTTTAAAAAGGGAAGATAAAACAACAACAAAAAAGGGAAAGATAAAAATGCCGGGTCAGGAAGCCTAAGAGAAGGTAGATTAGGCTAAAACAATTCAAAAGGCAAACCATACCAGGCGTCCTCAAACTTTTTAAAGTGGGGGCCAGATCACGGTCCCTCAGAGAGCTGGAGGGCCGGACTATATGAACTACTAATTCCTACTGTAACACCTCGGCTGCGCTCACTGCCCAAAAAACCTGGTGGGCCGGATCAGACTCCTCTGCGGGCTGCATGTGGCCCGCGGGCCGTAGTTTGAAGACCCCTGGTTGCCTGTCAACAGTGAGGACACAGTGAACTACACCTTTAAAAGGGGAAGGAGGCCGTTTCCGTGGGTGATGCCAGGTCCCAGCCAGATAGCACGGTCGGTTGGAGCATCATCCTGTGCACCAAGAGATGGCCGTTTCCATTCCCCTTCAAGGCTCAGACCTGGGTTGTCGGTTCCAGCCCCCGTCGGGGCACGTACAGGAGGCAGCCAACTGACATTTCTCACATCAATGTCTTTCTTTCTCTAAAAATCAATTTTTAAGAAGCATCCTCCAGAGAGGATTGAAATAAGAGTGGGAGGTGTGAGAGAAAGCAAAGGTCACGAAAAGTCATGCTGCCTGGGAAAGCAGGTGGAGAGAAGGTGTGCGTGTGCCTGTGCGTGGGGGCTGGTGTCCTGCTCACCCTCCCGTCTGTCTCACCCGGCAGTTCAGGTCCAAAGGTCTCCAGGTTACAAACATCATCCAGGCACCAGCTGCTCCTGCTGCTTCCAACAAGAAGCCACTCGTGTCTTCAGTGATCGGGGAAAGGGAACCCCCATATTGCACCCAACAGACAACGGAGCCCTCTGTCCCAGCCGCCTGTCTCAGAATGCCCCGTGGCCAGAGCCCATGGCCAGAGGGGGCCTTCCCGCCGCGCGCAGCGCCCCTGAGCCCAGGCTGCTGGCAGCCGCGGGGCCCCCTCAGCTCCCCTGCAGGGCGCTCTGGCCTCCTTTCCCAGGCCCGCAGCCCTGGGCGTTCCCACTCCTGTCCGTGGGCACTTCCCTGCGTCCCTGAGCTGCTGCTCGGGCAGCAGAGCCCTGACCCAGTGGCCAGCACACTCATCAGTCACAGAGCCAAATGTCAACACGCACAACGACTGACCTTTCTTCTGAGAGCCAAATTTTTTAAACTTAAACTATATAGATGGGTGCATTGTTATTAACGTAATTAGGGTCCTCCTAAGCTGGCCTTTGCTAAACACTCAAGGGGCCAAGAACCACGTGTGGCTCTCGAGCCGCAGTTTGCCAACCTAATCCAGCATGGCCCTGTCCCTGCTTTTCCACTGGGTGCAGACTCCCCGGGGGAGGTGCTGTGTGGTCCTTCAGCCCTGGCTGCGGGCAGTGGGCCCACAGGGCAGCGTCCCCGTGTGTGTCTGCGATGCTCAACACAGAGGCCCCACCATTCTGTCCTGTCGGCCACCTGGCCACAGGCTGCGCTTCCTGCATAGCTGTTCCCAAAATAAACTTCTGACAAGACTCGTCGTTAACAAAACCTGAACTGTTACCCTCGGGGTATGAAGCCGAGCCGGGGCACGGTGACCTTTTCCGGAAGGCGACTGTGAGGTTTGCGATCCGCGCCCAAACGTTCATGAACACCCGCACCGCGGCAAGCCGAGTCCTGTTGGTCTTCGCCTCGCTGCTGCCCTCCCGGATGCTTAAAAACGAACGTTTGTCACAGGGGGAACAATCAGTGTCCCTCGGCACGTGAGCGAATGGACGACGTGTGCTGCATACGCCCCACAGCCTCCCGCCGGCCCCTCACAAGGGGACTTAAATCCCGACGCGAGCTACGACGGACGATCCGTGCAGACGTGATGCTGATCGGACACAGAGGCCCGGGAGCGTGTGACGCCACCTGAGCGCCTGGCACCGGCGAACGCTGCGGCAGGAGGGGGACGCCGGCGGAAGGGGGGGACAGCTCACTGTGTCCGGTCGTAGGTTCGGGGCCTGGGAAGTGCTGGCTGCAGACAGCGGTGACGGCGAGACGGCGCTGTGAGAGCAGCTCGCGTGGCTGCACTGTACATGTGAAAGCGGTCAGGGTCATGGCTGTGCCACCAGCATAATCACACGCAGAGCAGAGAGAGGAGGCGGCAGGCCCGGGGGGAGGCTGAGGGGGCGCAGGCAGCAGCCCTGCCTGGGCGACGCACCATGTGGGCCCCGTGAGCATGCCAGGCGGAGGCCGGTCACGGGAGGCAAATAGATAAAAAGAACGGCCGGGTCACCCGTACGCGGTTACCTCAAAGGAAACCTTCAGGTCTAAGGTTTATACCAAGTTCAGAGTAAAACCTCGGCCTCCACATCGAACAAATGACTTAGGACCTAAAGGAGGCGAGGGGGGTCTGGCCTCAGCATTCCAGCTTCTCTTCCTGCCGGTTCAGCCGCCGACCTGAGTCACCACGGACCATGTCCTCGCCCTTCCTTCCTGGAAAAGTCCGTCTCCTACCCCTGCCCAAGGGGTCCTGCGCACATCCCTACATTCCCTTCCCTGGGTCCCCCGCCTCACCTCGGTCTGCACCCCCGGGCCTGCGGGACCCACTGCCCACAGCACCAGTTCACAACACACAAACACACACAACACACACACACACACACACACACACACACACACACACACACACCAGCATCCTCCCTCGGCCGGAGCCCAGGCCCAGGGGCCCCAACTGTGACTCAGACGCCCAGGTGGGTGCCCTGCTCGACGGCAGGAGGATGCACAGGTGCCCTCCGCCTCTCCTGTTGGCCGGATTGGGCCTAAACACCGCACCGCCCTCCCCGCTTTGCTAAGGATGGGCTCAGCCCGGCAGCCCTTCCCCCAATGAACACCTCTCTTCTCTGTTCTCCTCAACCTTCTGCCTGTTCTTTGTGATTCTAGCACGATCTAAATGCTTCCATTTCTTAAAGTCGAATTTCACACACATTATCTGAAAGGGTACAGTCTGGGGGTATTGAGTACGTTCGCCATCTGCAATTGCCTGCCCAGAGATTATCATCCCAACAATTATCCTTGCGACTCAGCTGGAGAAAGAGGATGGTGGAGGCGAGGTTGAAGGAGAACGTTCCAGAGGGAACAGCAGGTGCGAGGCCGCAGAGAAGGAGCTTCGTTCACTGGGAGAACGAGAGCCGCTCGGCGAGGCTGGTGATGGACACACTCGTCCTTGGTTTTCTGTTTCGGGAGCAGAAGCCCTGGCCCCTTCGGGAAGCCCTTGCCAACGAGGGGGTTACATGCCCTTCTGACGTCCTACCAGGAATTCCCTCATCCCCATCATGACCTCGAATCTGCCCCTGCCCCTCCAGGGCCCCAACTCAGCTCCTTGGGTCTGGAAACCCCTGGAGGGCATGGACCCTGTCTGCCTGGAATCAGTGAGCCCGTTCAGTTGTTATTTTAAAAGCCATTCACATAATCAGATTCCCCGTGAAGCCCTGGCCTCCAGCACCAGGTGCCCATGCGGGAACTCCGCCTGCGGGCCCCCTGCTGGGCCCAGACAGCTGAGGGGAGCAGGTCCCTGCCTCTTCCTGCCCGTCACGGAGCATGGACCCCAGTCCCTGCCATTATACACTGAAGCTGGGACGCGGTGAGGGGCACACTGGGTGAGAGGGCCGTAGTCATGAGCAACAGAACATCTGTGGGGCAGATGTGCCGGAGATGCGCCAGGGGGAAGGGTGCAGGAGCTGCACACAGCCCTGGGCTCCAGCCCCACCTCACAATCGATCTGACAGTCTTACCAGAGGAAGCAGTTAAGTTGAAGGAACCTGTGAGAACCTGGAGTCTCCGGGCTTTTGGGGACAAAGGGGGGGTTCCAGGTGTCACAGATCTGAGAAACTGGGCGGCCCCATTTCTCTCCCTGGACACCAACTCCCAGCCAGTGCGACCAGGGTCCCAGGACCTGCAGGTTTAGCCTGGAAGTCAACATCCCACTCTCTGTGGCTGGCTCCCTTCTCAGACCCTTCAGCAGAGCAATGGGCCTAGAGCAGACCGATGGCCCCCGGACCCACCTTCTCACCTGGACCCATCCCCCATCCCCTGCAAGGCCCTCTGCCAGGAGCCTCCACAGCTGCAGAGGCGGGTCCCTCCTTCCCGCTGAGCCTGGATGTTAGCAGGTGAGACCTGCAGAAGCTTGAGATGCACTTGCTTGTTTCTGTTTCCCTTGGGCTCATTCAGTTACCCTGAAGCCATGCCCGAGCGAGCCTGCGGGCACCTGAGGAAGCCCAGGCACATCACTCAGCCAGCCCCACGGCACGAGAACCAGCCACCCAGGACGTGTGGACAGAGCCGAGACCAAAGAGCTGCCCAGCCAGGCCCCATGGGCAATGCTGACTCACACAATCCAGCGAAGTAAATGTTTATTCTTTTGTGACTGACTTTATGAACAATCTTGTATCACTAGTTAAATGAAAACAGTGGCATCTGAAGAAGACTAAATGGAGCAGAACCACCACCATCCCCGTGGGGCTCGATGTGAACAAACAGAAGCTTTACTGAGCTGTCACAGTGAGATTCGGGGTGAGCTTGTTACACCGGCAGAGCTTGTGTTGTCCTGACTAATCCACAAGGACACAGATCACAGGCCCTGTCACTGCCCTGGCACCTCAGAGGCCTGAGCCAAGGGGAGCCGATAGGTTAATTCAAATGCAGGAACAGCAATGAGCTCCCAGCTTTTGGCAAAGAAGTGCTGGCCGGTCTTGCGGAAGCCCATGCTCTGGTAGAGGGCCAGGGCGGAGTGCTGCAGCATGCTGGTGCTGAGGACCACCTTGCTGCAGCCCTGGTCCCCCGCAAACTGCAGGACGGTCCTGACCAGGGCTCTGGCGATCCCCTGGCCCCGGTGCTCCCAGGACACGCTCAAGTGAAGAAGCTCCAGCTGCTCCTTCCGCAGGCCGGGCCCCCCAACGGGCAGGGCTGCCACCGTGCCCACCACCTGCCCCTCACGCTCGGCCACCCAGAAGCAGGAGCCCGGCTCGCTCAGGTAGGTTTTGCTGATGTCGCACATGTCTGTGCGCAAACAGTTGGACACATACTGGCTCCAGGGGTATTTGGCCAGGACCCTCAGGGCGGCCAGGAGGGCGAGGCCGGCCACCAGGGCCAGAAGCCAGGACCCAGAGACCAGAAGCAGGGCCAGGGGCCCCCCAAGCAAGGGCACAAGAGTCTGTGGCAGCCTCAGGAGGTGGCGGAAGGTGATGGGGGCATGCTCGGCTGCGCCCTTGGAGAACAGGTCCAGGACGCGCGGGCGGTCGCTCTCCTGGTACTTGCGGATGTGAAAAGGCGCCATGGGAGGCTTGTGGGTCTGAGCCTCGAGTCCAGAGAGAGAGCCAGGCAGCCCTGGGGAAGAGAGAGGAAGCCACGTCGAACCCCCTGTCTCCCACCTCCTGGTGGATCCCCTGCTGAAGGGCTTGTCTCTCTGCTGCTGCCCCAGGACGTAGGACACAGCTGCAGGGAGCACGTGTGGGGTCAGGAAGGCCTGCATTTGGCCTGGCTCCATTCCTTCGTAGCTGTGTGACCTTGGACATGTTGCTTAACCTCTCTGGGCCTCTTCCTCTGTACAGCAGCATAAAATCAAAGCCTGCCTTCTGAGGTTGTTCTGACAATTTGATAAAACAACGGATTCAAAGCTCTGGTATATAAAGTATCACCCCTCCCTCCACTTCTCCTCTTCCTGCCTCTCCTCTCAGCCCCTTGCTACTTTGGTGCCACTGTGCAGCAGCCAGAGCAGGCGCCCGTTGCCCTTTGGTGCCTCTGCCAGGCCCGCACTTTGCAGGAAGCTGTGTCCCCAGCACAGTCTCAGCAAAGGCCCCTTCCTCCTCGACGGCAAAGGGTCAGGCTGCAGAGGTGGCTGAAGGGCCCGACACCCAGCCTGGCCCTGCGTTCCTTGAGAGCCAGAGGAGGGCCCGGGGCAGCCGGCCACCCCCAGAGCCCTGTCCTTCCTCCCGCGTCCTCTCACCTGTCACCACAGAAGCCTCCAATGTCCAGGGTGGCCTCAGCCTGGCCTCCTCCCTCAGCCTCTGACTGGCCTCCAGGAAGACTGTGCGGGGCTGGCTCTGGCTCTGGGGCCAGGGCCTGGGGGCCGCCTCACTGGCTGGCTCCCGGCCATGTCAATCATCAACCCCAGTGTCCGGGAGCCGGGCTTGGACAGGGCAGCGAGCCTGCTCTCCATTCACTTTGTAATGGCGGGTCATTTCCGGGAGCTGGGGGAAGGGTCTGGACCACATTCAGGGTCTTCCCACTTGGGGTCTGTCTACACCCCCCCCCCGCCTCCTGGTCTTTAGGGAGACGCTCAACCACGAGCCACACGGCCGGGCGAGAGCGTTTTGTTTGTTTTGTTTTTTAATTTTTATTGATTACGGTACCACATAATTGTCCTCACCCCCCCATTCCCATCCCAAACCCCTCCCCACATATGCCCCCACCCCCTGTTGTCCATGGCCACTGGCTAGACCCATATGCATGCATACAAAGTCCTTTAGTTTATATCTCCCCCTTACCCCCACCCTCCCCTACTTTCCCTCTGAGGTTTGAAAGTCTGATTGCTGCTTCTCTTTCTCTGGGTCTGTTTTTGTTCATTCGTTTATGTTGTTCACTATTTCCTCTAGATGTGTGAGATCATGTGATCCAAGAAGTACGCTCGTAAGAACCGAAACTGAGACAAACCAGGAGAGCGTTCCTTTCTCCCTCATCCGCGGGGGGACGGTGGGTGGTTTCCCTCGGGCTCTGTGCGTGCTGCCGCGGTGAGATTCTCACGCACACGCCCTGGTGTGGGCCCGGCCTTCAGCTCTTCTGGCGTACACCAGGAGCGGGTCAGAGGTCCCGTGGTCCATCTGTGTGACATTCTGAGGAACTGCCAAACTGTTGTCCAGATGGCTGCACCCTTCTCCTTCCCCACATGAGTCTGGTTTTACTTTGCTGTCCGCCAGGCACTGCTGCCGGCACACACAGCGGGACGGACGAGAGCCGGCATTCCTGAGAAGTCAGGTGCCTGGCACTGTGAGAAAGGTGTTTTCCTATGCTGTGCTATTGTACTTTTTATTTCTTTAGAAAGGAAGAGAGAGGGAAAGAGAAAGAGAGAGTTTGGCTGCCTCCTGCAATCTAGTGCCCTGATTGGGGATCGAACCCGCAACCTTTGGTGAACCGGATGATGCTCCGACCGACTGAGCCGCCCAGCCAGGGCCTGTGATCTGCCGTTGCCATTCACAGCCGCTTAAGAGCTGAGGTTGGTATCAACGCCCCCACTTTACAAACGGGAAGCTGAGGCCCGGAAAGGAGATCTCACACACACACACACACACACACACACACACCCCGTGCCCGGCCGCCGGCCGCTGGGACCGCAGGCGGAGGCTGCTCTGACTCCGGGGTGCGTGTCTGCTCCTCTGCGCCCCTGGCTCACCCCCAGGCCGGCACCTGCTGAGTCCGGGTGCGGAAAGCCCGCTGTCTGCGGGGTAAGCTTTATCCCTGGAGCCCTGCCAGCCCCTCCCGCCAGAGGGCAGCCCACACTTGGGCAGATTCCGGTGTGTGGCAGAGGCCCTTTGTGCCTCAGGATCCGGTGTGGGCAGACTCCTGGCCACCGCCAGCCACAAGCTTCTGCTGCCCACTCCCTCCTTGAAGCCTTCGCCTCTGTGTTGCTGTCAAGTTGTTATTTCTTTCTTTAAAAAAAAAAATTATTGACATTTTTACAGAGAGGAAGAGAGAGGGATAGAGAGTTAGAAACGTTAATGAGAGAGAAACATGGATCAGCTGCCTCTTGCACACCACCTACTGGGGATGTGCCCGCAACCAAGGTACATGCCCTTGACCAGAATCGAACCTGGGACCTTTCAGTCCGCAGGCAGACGTTCTATCCACTGAGCCAAACCGGTTTCAGCTCAAATTGTTATTTCTTAACAAGCAACTGCTAACTCACTACAGCTGATTCACTCCCGTTGGTGGGCACCAGTACCCTGACCAACTGCTTCCTTCTTCTTCCTCCTGCCCAGAGCCCTGATGAAAGCAGGTCAGGACACAGACATGCTTATTACTTTGAGATTCATTCACCTTGCACATGTCACCAGGTCTGTTCATTCCTTCTCGTTACCAAATAGTATTTCCACCTCCTGCTGGTCCGCCCCCAAACCCAAGCAGCAGCCGAGGAGAAGGGAGACGTGCTGCTACATAAAGCCTCTTCCATCAGATTAAACGCGTGATGAGCTGCAGAAAGCTGAGGGGGAATGTGGGGTCAGCATTCTAGGCTCTCCTCCTGCCGCATCAGCCACTGAGCTCTGCATCACCACGGACCATGCCCTCCCTGCTTCCTACTTTCTGGAAAAGTCCGTCTCCTACCCCTGCCGAGGGGTCTCTGTGCACATCCCTACATTCCCTTCCCTGGGTCCCGGCCTCCTCTGTCTGCACCCCCCAGGCCTGCACTGAGGAGAAACGCTCCCGCCAGTACACACACACACACACACACATGTGCACACGCACACGCACGCACGCACACACACCAACATCCTCCCTCTGCCGGAGCCCAGGCCCACGGCCCCCCGACTGTGACTCAGATGTGATAGGTCCTCCCTTCCTCCAGTTGATGTCAGATGTAAACCCCGCCTGCAGCCAGACATTCCCGAGCACTGAACCACCAATCAGCACCTGCCCAATACCCTAAGCCCCCATTCCTAGCCCCCAGGTCCCTAATCATAGACTTTACATGAAACCACCCATCAGCGTGTGCTGAGTGCCCTAAGCCACGCCCCCTATCCTCCCCTTAAAGGTGCTCGTACCCCGGCCCTCGCTCTCTTCCTCGCTCTCTGGAAGCAGCCGGCAGTGGTACTCTTCTCTTCAATAAAGCCTGTGTTCAATAAAGCTTCTCTTCAATAAAGCATCCCGGTCTCCGGCCCTCTCTGTTTCATCTTTCAAGAAGCCCAGGTGGGTGCCCTGCTCCACGGCAGGAAGAGGCACGGTGCCCTCGAGGCCTCTCCTGTCAGCAGCCTCGGGCTTACCCACGGCTCCGCCCTCCCCGCTTCCTAAGGGCAGGCTCAGCCCAGCAGCCCCGCCCCCAGGGAACACCTCCTTCATCTCTGCTCTCCTGTAGGGAGCTGCTATGGGGTTAAGCCTGGGACTGACCTGCTGGCAAAGCCGAAGACAAGTCCCAGCTTAGAGGGCACAGACTTCTTAGCATAATTAAGCTTGATCTTATGATGCCCCCTAGATCCTTCCTGGGTAGCTAATGGGCTGTGGGAGGTGCAGCAAGTGTTGCCAAAACAAGTGAAACTCACAAGAACATTGTAACTATGGTGACCACTACCTTGTTTACCTCTGGCTATAAAAAAAAAAAAAAAAAAAAAAACAAAACATCAGCTTGCCCTCTGGATCCTCTCTGTGGCCTCAGCCAGGCACAGGAGATCCACCTAGACCCAGCTTTTTCTCTGTCTTTTCTTCATCCTTCGCCAGCCCTCCCTCAGGCTCGCCGAACCCTTGGCTGTGCTAGCGCGGCACACTCACCCCCAACTTTTCTATCCTCTTTTTTTTTTTTTTTAAATATATCTTTTATTGATTTTTTTTACAGAGAGGAAGGGAGAGGGATAGAGAGCCAGAAACATGGATGAGAGAGAAACATCAATCAGCCGCCTCCGGACACTCCCCACTGGGAATACACCTGCAACCAAGGCACATGCCCCCAACCGGAATCGAACCCGGAACCGAACCCGGAACCATTGAATCTGCAGGCGGACGCTCTATCCACTGAGCCAAACCGGTCTCGGCTCTATCCTCCTTTTGAATTAAGGAGCCAACCGGAGGTCCGTGAGGTCCGAAAGGTTGGTGACCGCTGATCTAACTCATCCTTTTATACCGGATTTTGAAAAATAGCATAAAATTATTTTTAATGCCTGCATTTAGTACATTCATTATGTCGTACAATCACCTCTATTACGTCTCAAAACGTGCTAACCACCCCAAACGGAAACAGGCACACGTTAAATTACCAGTTCCCCTCAACCCCCGCCCCCCAGCAACACTTGGCAAACCCCCTAAACCTCCGAAACTGTCTTGATAATCCTCTTTGAAATTTCTGTTTTGGTTCCCGATCTCACAGTAAATTTCTTATCCATCACACCTGGTGCATCCATCTGAGCTGCGGTTTAACTCGCTACCCTTAGGCCCCTGTCCTGACGCAGGCATCCTCAACTCAGACACAGGTGCACCCACCGGGCAGCTCTGGAGCCCTCACATGAAAACCCGCTTACAGAGCCGAGAGGGGAGAGGTCAAAGGGAGGGGGGAGGAGACTTATGTAATACTTTAAACAATAACGAACTTAAAATGTTTTTTAAAAAGCCATGGCACAGGAGCTCAGAAGATGGCAACATAGGTAAACGTCTGTACTCGCCACCTCCCTCAACCACATCAAAATTACAACTAAAACACAGAGAAACCACCATCCAAAACTGCTGGAAAGCTGGCTGAATGGAAGTCCTACAATAAGGTGACCAGACATCCTGCTTTTGGCGGGACAGTCCCGATTTTTAACAATTTGTCCGTGTCCTGCAGAGTTTTAAAAAAGTCCCGATTCTTTCCAAAAATTGGGACTTTTTTAAAACGTCTCAGGACAAATTGTTAGAAATCGGGGCTGTCCCGCCAAAAGCGCAAAATCTGGTCACCTTATCCTACAACCAGAGAGGTGAAGAAGCAAGCACCCGGAGGCTGGCAGGAGGCGCAGAGGCTCCGAAGAGGCTGGGCTGGCACCCACGTGTGCTGCTTTTTTAATCGGAGGGAGAGTGCCCCTGAGGAGGGCGCCTGGAGGAGCGAACGGTCCCACCCCCACCCCAGCCCCCCAGCTAGGGCCCCAGAGCTGGGAAAAGAACCACGGGCTGTAAAAACCAGTGTGGATGGGGCGCAGAGACACAGAGGCTGCTGGAGACCCAGCTGCTCCTCTTAACAGGCCGGCACCACAAACTGAACTTACAAGCTCCCACTTCCTCGGAGCTCCAGGGCCTGGCGAGGCTCCGGGGACACAGACACATACCAGGAGGATCTGGAGTGTCTGGCATCAGGACAGGAACTCGGGGGCGGCTTGCAGGGATCCTTAGTCCGATGCTGGGACCTCCCTGGTGGCAGGGCTGACTGGCAGCCATTCTGTGTGCTCCACCCTGGTGATTCCGTAAGACCCCGCCCCACCCAATTTATAACCCCACCCACGCTGTGTACAGCAGCTTTGCATATAGATTGCCTTTCCTTCCTCTGGGTAAAATCTCTCAAACAAGCTGCAGCTGGGCCAGGGAGCCCAAACCTATCAATAAAAGGCCCAAGGAGCCGAAACCGGTTTGGCTCAGTGGATAGAGCGTCGGCTTGTGGACTGAAAGATCCCGGGTTCGATTCCGGTCAAGGGCATGTACCTTGGATGCGGGCATATCCCCAGTAGGGGGTGTGCAGGAGGCAGCTGGTCGATGTTTCTCTCTCATCGACGTTTCTAGCTCTCTATCTCTCTCTCTTCCTCTCTGTAAGAAATCAATAAAAATATATTTAAAAAAAAAAATAAAAGGTCCAAGGACTCAGCACCAGCACCAGCTGCCTTGCTTCATAGCTGGGCCTCATCTGGGCGCTCCCAAACCCCAAACAGAGAGGAGGTATCTGCAGATCTCTCTGAGCTCCTGCTGGGTGGCCCCAGGCAGTGGCTGACTTTGCACCTCCTTGGAGACCCAAGCGCCAGTGTGCCCAGTGCTCAGTGTGAGACCATACTAGATTAAAACTCTTCACATCCATAAGCTACACACTCAAGGGGCAGACTCAGTGAGCACCAAAGCCCCACCAAAGCAAGTCCTGCTGCACAGGGGTGTCTCCTGCACAGCAGCTCTTCTGCTGCAGTAACAGCGGATCCCCAGAGTCAGTTGGCCTGGAGGTCAATTCCTTCCAGTGACACCAACAGCAATCAAGGCTCAGTTACAACAAGACTGTGCACACAGCCCACAAAGGGGTGCACTAGAGCTCCCAGCTCAGGTGACTGGGGAGACGGAGCCATTGGGATATATATATATTCTAAAGAACAATATAGACAAAATAGAAACAGATTCATAGATACAGAGAACAGACTGATGGTTGTCAGAGTGAGGGGGAGGGGGTTTGGGGCTGGGTTAAAAAGGTGAGGGGGTGCCGAAACCTGTTTGGCTCAGTGGTAGAGCGTCGGTCTGCGGACTGAAGGGTCCCAGGTTTGATTCCGGTTAAGGGCATGTACATTGGTTGCGGGCACATCCCCAGTAGGGGTTGTGCAAAAGGCAGCTGATCGATGACTCTCTCTAATAGATGTTTCTAGCTAGCTCTCTCTCTCTCTCTTCCTCTCTGTAAAAAATCAATTAAAAAAAAAATATATATATATATATAAAGGTGAGGGGGTTAAGAAATACCAATTGGCCCTGGCTGGTTTGGCTCAGTGGATAGAGCATCAGCCTTCAGATTAAAGGGTCCCGGGCTCAATTCCGATCAGGGGCACATGCCCGGGTTGCGGGCTAGATTCCCAGTAGGGGGCATGCAGGAAGCGGCCGATCGATGATTCTCTCTCATCGTTGATGTTTCTATCTCTCTCTTTCCCTCTCCCTTCATCTCTGAAATCAATAAAATAAAAATTTAAAAATATATTTTATTGATTTTTTACATAGAGGAAGGGAGAGAGATAGAGTTATAAACATCAATGTGAGAGAGTCATTGATCAGCTGCCTCTTGCACGCCCCCTACTGGGGATGAGCCAGCAACCAAGGTACATGCCCTTGACCGGAATCGAACCCGGGACCTTTCAGTCCACATGCCGGCGCTCTATCCACTGAGCCAAACCAGTTTCGGCAATAAAAATATTTTTAAAAAGAAGAAGTACAAATTGGTAATCACAAAATAGTCACAGCGTAGGGAGTATAGTCTATAACACTATAAAATATAGCTATGTCTGGTGCCAGGTGAGTACTGGAAATACCAGGGGGGATAAATTTGTAAAGTATATGATTGTTTAACCACTGTGCTGTGTGCCTGAAACTAATGCAAAACAGCAGTGAATGTGAACTGTAACAGAAAAACACAACAAAACAAGAAGACTCCATTGGCAGTGAGCGTGGACTTGGTCTGAGGAAGGTGGGCCCAGGAGCAAGCAGCCTGGGCGGCCAGGCCTGTCCCGCTGTTTGGCCACATCAGCCCCCTCGCCGGGATGACCCGGCAGCAGGGAGCCCGTCCAGTTGTTACTTTAAAAGTCGTTCAAATCATCACATTCCCCGTGGACCCCTGGCCTCCAGCACCAGGTGCCCATGCGGGAACTCCGCCTGGGGGCCCCCTGCTGGGCCCAGACAGCTGAGGGGAGCAGGTCCCTGCCTCTTCCTGCCCGTCACGGAGCATGGACCCCAGTCCCTGCCATTACACACTGAAGCTGGGACGCGGTGAGGGGCACAGACGTTTGGTTTAAAGCCCAGAAGTAGGGCCAGTTACACAAGTGGCCACGTTTTCTGAGAATCTCGGGGAAGCTGTTGGGCGCAGGCCTGGAGGAGGAGGATGGGCTGACAGAGGGGACTGTCTGGGACCCCAAGGCCAGGGAGAAAAGAGACCTAAATAAAGGGTCACGGCTGAGGCCCAGGGTTTGGGGCAAGAGAACATGCATGTTGGAGCCACTGTGATCACGGTGCCCGTTTGGAGGCAATGTGCCTGTTACAGAGCGAGGCGGCAGGGCTGTGCCAGGTCTGAGGCCTGGGCTAACCCTTCAGAGGTCAGCCAGGAGCAGAGGTCACTGCAGGGAGGGAGAAGGCCTGTGTGTCCCCAGATACACCTGAAAGGGACCCACCAGATCCTGAACAGTCGCCGCGGGGTGGGGGGGACCCAGTGAGAGACTCCAGGTCACCTGTGAGCCACCCATGCCGGAGATGTGCCAGCGGGGAAGGGTGCAGGGGCTGACATTCCGGCCCTGGGCCCCAGCCCCTCACAATCGATCTGACAGTCTATCCAGAGGAAGCAGTTAACTCTAAGGAACCTGTGAGATCCTGGAGTCTCCGGGCATTTGGGGACAAAGGCGGGGCCCCAGGTGTGGCCGATCTGAGAAACTGGGCGGCCCCATTTCTCTCCCCGGACACCAACTCCCAGCCAGTGCGACCAGGGTCTCAGGACCTGCAGGTTTAGCCTGGAAGTCAACATCCCACTCTCTGTGGCTGGCTCCCTTCTCAGACCCTTCAGCAGAGCAATGGGCCTAGAGCAGACCGATGGCCCCCGGACCCACCTTCTCACCTGGACCCATCCCCCCTCCCCTGCAAGGCCCTCTGCCAGGAGCCTCCACAGCTGCAGAGGCGGGTCCCTCCTTCCCGCTGAGCCTGGATGTTAGCAGGTGAGACCTGCAGAGGCTTGAAATGCATTTGCTTGTTTCTGCTTCCCTTAGGCTCATTCAGTTACCCTGAAGCCATGCCCGAGCGAGCCTGCGGGCACCTGAGGAAGCCCAGGCACATCACTCAGCCAGCCCCACGGCACGAGAACCAGCCACCCAGGACGTGTGGACAGAACCGAGACCAAAGAGCTGCCCAGCCAGGCCCCATGGGCAATGCTGACTCACACAATCCAGCGAAGTAAATGTTTATTATTCTTTTGTGATTGACTTTATGAACAGTCTTGTATCACTAGTTACCTGAAAACAGTGGCATCTGAAGAAGACTAAATGGAGCAGAACCACCACCATCCCCGTGGGGCTCGATGTGAACAAACAGAAGCTTTACTGAGCTGTCACAGTGAGATTCGGGGTGAGCTTGTTACACTGGCAGAGCCTGTGCTATCCTGACTAATCCACAATGACACAGATCACAGGCCCTGTCATTGCCCTGGCGCCTCAGAGGCCTGAGCCGAGGGGAGCCGGTAGGTTAAATGAACTATGTGAATAGCAGTTATCCTGTTAATCATGGCGGGGAAGTACTGTCCGGTCTTGCGGAAGCCCATGCTCTGGTAGAGGGCCAGGGCGGAGTGCTGCAGCATGCTAGTGCTGAGGACCACCTCGCTGCAGCCCTGGTCCCGCGCAAACTGCAGGACGGTCCTGACCAGGGCTCTGGCGATCCCCTGGCCCCGGTGCTCCCAGGACACGCTTAAGCGGAACAGCTCCAGCTGCTCCTTCCGCAGGCCGGGCCCCCCAGCGGGCAGGGCTGCCACCGTGCCCACCACCTGCCCCTCACGCTCGGCCACCCAGAAGCAGGAGCCCGGCTCGCTCAGGTAGGTTTTGCTGATGTCGCACATGTCTGTGCGCAAACAGTTGGACACATACTGGCTCCAGGGGTATTTGGCCAGGACCCTCAGGGCGGCCAGGAGGGCGAGGCCGGCCACCAGGGCCAGAAGCCAGGACCCAGAGACCAGAAGCAGGGCCAGGGGCCCCCCAAGCAAGGGCACAAGAGTCTGTGGCAGCCTCAGGAGGTGGCGGAAGGTGATGGGGGCGTGCTCAAGCATGCCCCGGGAGAACAGGTCCAGGACGCGCGGGCGGTCGCTCTCCTGGTACTTGCGGATGTGAAAAGGCGCCATGGGAGGCTTGTGGGTCCAGCAGAGAGAGCCTGGCAGTCCTGGGGAAGAGAGAGGAAGCCAAGTGAGAACCCCATCTCCCACCTCCTGGGAACCAGAGCTCCTGCTGAAGGGCTGGTCTCTCTGCTGCTGCCCCAGGAGGTAGGTCACAGCCGCTGGGAGCAGGTGTGGGGTCAGAAAGGCCTGCATTTGGCCTGGCTCCATTCCTTCGTAGCTGTGTGACCTTGGGCATGTTGCTTAACCTCTCTGGGCCTCTTCCTCTGTACAGCAGCATAAAATCAAAGCCTGCCTTCTGAGGTTGTTCTGACAATTTGATAAAACAACGGATGCAAAGCTCTGGTATATAAAGTACCAGCCCCCCTCCACTTCTCCCCTCACATCCTTTTTAAAAAAATTCTCACCCGAGGATATTTTTCCATTGATTTTTAGAGAGAGTGAAAGAGAGAGGGAAAGACAGAGAGAAATACCTATGTGAGAGAAACCCGATTGTTTGCCTCCTGTATGTGCCCCAACCAGGGCCTGGGCCTGAGGCATGTGCCCTTGACTGGAATCTAACCTGGGACAATTCAGTCTGCAGACTGACACTCTATCCACTGAGCCAACCAGCTAGGGTCCTCTTCTCCTCTTCCTGCCTCTCCTCTCAGCCCCTTGCTACCTTGGTGCCACTGTGCAGCAGCCAGAGCAGGCGCCCTTTACCCTTTGGTGCCTCTGCCAGGCCGCACTTTGCAGGAAGCTGTGTCCCCAGCACAGTCTCAGCAAAGGCTCCTTCCTCCTCGACGGCAAAGGGTCAGGCTGCAGAGGTGGCTGAGGAGCCCGATGCCCAGCCTGGCCCTGTGTTCCTTGAGAGCCAGAGGAGGGCCCGGGGCTGCCGGCCACCCCCAGAGCCCTGTCCTTCCTCCCGCGTCCTCTCACCTGTCACCACAGAAGCCTCCAATGTCCAGGGTGGCCTCAGCCTGGCCTCCTCCCTCAGCCTCTGACTGGCCTCCAAGAAGACTGTGCGGGGCTGGCTCTGGCTCTGGGGCCAGGGCCTGGAGGCCGCCTCATTGGCTGGCTCCCGGCCATGTCAATCATCAACCCCAGTGCCAGGGAGCTGGGCAGGAAGCCTATTCTCCTTTCACTTTGCAATGACGGTCATTATCTGGGAGCTGGGAAAGGGTCTGGAACAGCCTGAAAGGCCAGCACAGGACCTGTGAGCAGTCCCTGTAGGTCTGAGTGTGTGATGGGGGAGTGGACATAGGTGATTAAAGACCCTTCCTCTGAGATGGCTCCGTTCAGGACTGGGGAGATTGGAGTAACAATGACCTCCTGGGTAAGAGTTCACAGCAGAGAGCCAGCTTTTGGCTTTAATATGTAATCCTTAATGAAGGAGGCAAATCGCATGACCTATCAAATTGCACAGAGCACCTGCCTGTATTAAAGCCTTTAGTGGATGCATACCCTCATCCCAGTAATTCCACTTCAGGGAAGCTGTTCTAAAGAGAAGAGTCTGGGAGATCCAGGATGACAGCTTAGGTAAACACACAAACTGCTGCCATGCACAACAATTTCAAAACTACAACTAAAAACAAAACGTTTATCACCCAGAACCACAGGAAAGCTCGCTGAAAGGAAGCTCTACAACTAGATTGAAAGAGAAAAGAGAATTCAGGGCACAAGCACTGAAAAACTGAGGTACGGGGATGCTAGGCTGGCAGCAGATCCCGGCTGGCAGAAGGCGTTGCTTTCTTCAACCAGAAGAGAGACAAGCTCCCGATCTCTCTGAAATACTGTTTCTGGGGAGAAGCTAGACTGTCTGCCATGAGGATAGTGTAAGAAGCCTCTGGGACGGCTTTAAGCATATCAACATCTGGATTTTTGGGGTGCCAGAAGAAGAGAGAGAGCAGGATATTGAAGGCCTATTGAAAGAAATAATGACAGAAAACTTTCCCTACCTGGTGAAAGAAATAGACTTACAAATCCAGGAAGCGCACAGAACCCCAAACAAGAGGAATCCACACCAAGACACATCATTATTAAAATGCCAAGGGCAAAAGACAAAAAGAGAATATTAAATGCAGCAAGAGAAAAACATTAGTTACCTTCAAGGGAGTACCCATATGACTGTCAGCTGATTTTTCAACAGAAATTATGCAGGCCAGAAGGAAGTGGCAAGAAATATTCAAAGTGATGAATAGTAAGAACCTACAACCAAGATTACTCTAGCCAGCAAAGCTATCATTCAGAATTGAAGGTCAGACAAAGAGCTTTACAGACAAGCAAAAGCTAAAGGAATTCATCACCAACCAGGATTACATGAAATGCTGAATGGTATTCTTTAAGAAGAGGAAGAAGAAAAAGGTAAAGGTGAAAACTATGAACAACAAAAAGACATCAAATCCATAGCTACCAACAAGTGCATCTAAAAATCTGAAGAACAGAATGGACTGGTGAATATAATAGAATTAGGGACATAGAAAGGGAGTCAACTGACAATCCTCAGGGAGAGGGGGATCTGAGAGGTGCAGGAAGAGATTGGACAAAAACCTTACACCTATGGATGAAGACAGTGGCAGGGGGTAAGGGCATGGGGTGGGGTGAGGAATCAGGTGAAGGGGAGCTATGGGGGTGGGGGGAGAGGAACACCTGTAATAATTTGAATAAAGATTTATTATATATTAAAAAATAAATAAATAAAGAGAACAGTCTGGCCAGCGTGACTAATAGTTGAGTGTTGACCTATGAATCAAAAGGTCACGTTGGATTCCTGGTCAGGGCTCAATCTCCAATGTGGGGAGTGGAGGAGGCAGCAGATCAATGATTCTTGCTCATCATTCATGTTTCTCTCTCTCTCTCTTCCCCTCCTTTCCTTTCTGAAATCAATAAAAATATATTTTAAAAAAATAAAGGAGAAACATGTACCAAGATTTACTTGCAAAGGTGAGGCAAAAATTTGAAAGCAACACCAATGGAACTGCGTAAGTGAAATGTTGCAGAGCGATAAAACGAGCGTGTTTGTGAGGGCATGGGAAGAGGACACAGCAGCTGGGTATCACAGAACGACATTTAACCCTGACCGCAGCATCTGGAGCTCTGGAGGAAGCAGCCTCTCTCAGCTTCAGGGGAAACATGCCTTTATTTATGTAAATATACCGGAAGGACACAAAATCCATCTATTATTCCCGAAAACATTTGAACTGATTCAAATCACAAACCATTCCAGATTGTGGAATTTTGAAAAACATCTAGAGTACTCTTTAAAAAAATCTCAACATTATTATTTTTTAAAGAATTGTTCTAAAGGAGCCCAAGCACCATGACAAACACAATGCAGCCTGAGTGCCACAAGGACTGCAACCTACTTTCCAATAACATTTGCAATTGTTTTGCACACTTGAATTTCCTGACGGAGACCTGGGAGAACACGTCTGGTTTTCCCCATTGTAATGAGGACCATGTGAGGTGGTGCGTCAAAGTGCTTAGCACAGAGCATGAGGGCTTCTGCACTTCATCAGGAGCGATGGTGATGAAAATCACGACCACTCGCTTTCTGGCACATGGCCGGACCCCACTTCTCCCCGCTGTGAAGTTGGCCTGGCCGTGACTGGCTGTGAGTGATGAGTCCCTTCCCTGTGGGAGCTTAGGAACTGCCGAGTCAGCGTTCCTCCCAGCTGAGCAGTGGCCCACAGGGCACAGGCTGAGATGAGGCCTTAGCTGGCCGGCTCCCAGAGTCACTGCAAGGCTTCCCGCCGATTCCCGCTGCCTATACAGAGCGAGCAAGGAGCTTCTGTCATGTGAAGCCAGTGAACTTTAGGGATCGGAACTGCAGCCCAACCTAACCCAGAACTCCACAAACCACAGTCCTCAGTCTCCTGCCCATCCCTTATTTCCAATTTTACTGGAGAACCACCATGCTCATCCTTCATGTACTGTCTGTGGCTGTCCCTGCACTACAGCAGGGAGAGCTGAGTAGATGCAAGAGACCACTTGGCCTGATCTGCCCCTTCATAGAAAGGTTTGCCAACCCTAACCTAGTCTACCTTGACTGATACAATCGAAATGAAAAAAAACAAACAAACACAAATCACTTATAAAACATGATTTTATATTAGTGGTTGGACCTTGGGCAAGTTAGCATGATCTCTTAGTGGCTGTGTGTAAAATGAGGGTAATAACAGCATCTATCCCAAAAGGTGTTATGAGCTACTGTATATAAAACACTAAGGCAGCCGAAACCGGTTTGGCTCAGTGGTAGAGCGTCGGTCTGCAGACTGAAAGATCCCACATTCGATTCTGGTCAAGGGCATGTACCTTGGTTGCGGGCACATCCCCGGTAGGGGGTGTGCAGGAGGCGGCTGGTCGATGTTTCTCTCTCATTGACATTTCTGGCTCTCTATCTCTCTCCCTTCCTCTCTGTAAAAAATCAATAAAATATATTAAAAAAACAAACCAAACAAAAAACAAAACACTAAGGCAAAAAGCTTTTAGACATCCAACAAATGTTTGCAAATTACTATTCCAATTATATAAAAATAAAATACATCTGAATAAAAATAAAAGACTAGAATAACAAATAACACTAACAGTGATTATCTTTGAAAATATTAACAGGTAGGATTAGATTTTCCCCCATTATACCATCTGTTTCAAAATTTTCTATAATGAATATATACACCGAGTGGCCAGATTATTATGATCTATGAATGCATAATAATCTGGCCACTCAGTGTATATCCTATATAATAAAAGGCTAATATGCAAATTGTCCCCTCGACCAGGAGTTCGACCAGCAGGCAGGCCAGCCAACTGTCCATGTTCTCTCCCCCTGGCCAGGCTGGCCAGACCCTACCCATGCACGAATTCAACCTCCAGGCCTCTAATACACACACACACACACACACACACACACACACACACACACACTGAGTGGCCAGATTATTATATATTCAGAGATAATAATCTGGCCACTCAGTGTATAAACCCAATATAACAAAACCCTTATATGCAAATCAACTGAATGGCAGAACCACCTGTGGAACCGTCAGTCACTACGATGTGCACTGAC